CCACGAACTATTTTGTTCATGAAATGCCATGTATGGTACAATTAAATATTAGGGTTTGAAGCTGAATAAAAGTGTTATTAGAATAAAAACATACCATTTACCTCTTTTTCATTAGTTTATGTCTTTACAAATAGATAAGACTTTTGGTGCTGGATTTAGCTGCCATAATGTGTTAAAATGATGAATGTTAAAAAGATGCTAAACAATATTTGCTAACTGCCAATCAAATTCAATACTGATTATCATTTTCTGCTAGTTATCAAAACTAACAATACTGCACAAAATGAATAATTAAAGTGTGAAAAAAAGTTTAATTATTATTAAATGTTTGTTATGATAATGCAAGTGAATAATTAAAGTATAACAACAGTCTTTCAATTAAAACTATCTTTTTGTAATTTTGTTATGTTATCATAACAGTGGTGCTTTAAGGGAATAATTGTACATCTTTATATTATTTTTATCTTTTTGTTTAAGTAGAATCTTAAATTTTCACATCACATTTGTGTTTAAAATTATTAATATCAAGTTTAGGAAAGAATAACCTAGCATTTAGATGTACTATAACTCAATGTTTAAAATATGTATGCCTAAAATTACCTAAAACAACACTCCAAATTAAAATTTTTATTGTAAGTACTGAAAATAATAAACATCAGAGAATGATCTAGTTGGCTACAATGAAACATCAGTGCTTTGTACTTGAAAAATGGGTGGTGGTGGTTAACAGACCATTGGGGCTGTTATAATCAAAAAACAAAAAATGCAAAGAGTAAAACATAATGTTCCAAAACTACTATAACTTTCGTACTTGCCAGAAAACTGACTTTTGTCTGCACTACAAATATACTTTGGAAATGGCACCAAAATGAATTAATGATAACATAAACATGTCATAATCAAGTAATTCACAACACTGCCTTTCTATTGGTCATAGCCTGTATTATTGACAAGTAAGCAGGAGTAAACAGATAATTTCAAATGCATAAAGAGTTGAGAGGAGCTTCCTTGGTGGGTTTAACAAATTCATTAATACCTCAGAAAAAGGTGGAAGGTTTTATCTTACATTATTGCCTGTTAATATTTGTGGTTGGTGTTTCTATTTGGTGGATGTTCTGAAATCCATACATGGGAAAAAAGAAAATGGAGAAACCAGAGCAGAGAAGCAATACAAAACATAGAAAAGTGAAGACTGGTTATTTATTTAAATACTTCCTTTTTAAATTCAGAAATTAAAACTTGTATAATATTTTAATTTGGATTTAAACAATATTTTGATGCCAAATTTACTGACATACATTTATAATAAAGTTGTATAATTAAATATTGAATTGAACTCTACAAAACATCGTGATGAGTTCCCTTTGATCCTACCCATGCACAAAGGATAAAAAAGAAGAAAAAGCTTTTTCAAAGCAATGAGCATTGAAATCCAGGAACTATGAAGACAGTTCAACAATGAAAGAAGTAAATATTTCAAATCATTAACTCCATTAACGTCTCTCCATGTATTGCATTACTTTTTATCACTATTATTATATTAAAGTATTTAGATAAAGCTGCCTGTTTGTTTTAACATCTTTCTTCTTCATCAATGTTTTCTGTGGTGAAACCAGATGAACAGTGAGAACTTTGCAAGTTGGTACAAAATATGTGAGGCCAACATTAAATGAAACTGATGTTTAATGCCACATCTATCACAGATACCTTTAAATCAGATAGAAGGATCATGTATATCAGCATTGCCAGGTATCTTTGCTAGTGTAGAATTATATATATATGGCAAATTAAGAACTATTAAGGTCAGGGTTTTAGTTCCATTTAACATCATGGAGGTTGGGAGTCTTGTAGAAATAAGAGGCAATCTATTTTTACTATGAGAATATTTTTACCTTTTCATACATCTCATAAAAGAGAGGGGGTTGGGAGTTTTACATTGTAGAAATTTAGGGTGGCTTATTTCTACTTTTAAGGCTGTATCTAAATACAACAAGTAAATGCCTTCCCACAACTGGCTGCAGACAACAAAAGGCAGTAGGAGTTCAGAGTTTGTGGGTACAAGCAATCAACTCATAACCCTTAAATGATTTTCCTTAGTTGCTGGCTAGTTTAACATCGACATTTGGATCTTGTCGCATTTGGGTGCTAATGCCACAGACATTATTCACTATGAAATTTATTGATGACAACAAGGACTGGTAATGGAAAATTAATTTTGAGACTTTATGTAATGTTTTTGATTTACATATATGTATGTACGTATATATATGTAAAAACACAATTAAATGTCCACATGTTTTTATTGCTGCATGACGCACCTTACATTTTCACTGGGTTGAATTTTTGTGACAAGACAATGTAAAACAAAATTTAGCAATAGTTTAAGATAAAAAAAAACTCTTCTGAGAGCATAACTTATCAACACTTGATTCACTGAAGAAATATCATAGTATAATCAAATCCTAAACGTGTACAGCATACTAACTATTTTTAAGCTTAAGTCATAACAATTATTGTTCATCTCCATATAAAAGCCTATTTTTAATGTAGTAGACTGTATAGTTCCATATTCTCTGTGGTGAATATTCTAGTATTCATACTTGCATTTACCTTTACTTCCATAGTATGGCATATTTACTTATTTTATGTTTTTGCACATTTAAACATAAAACATTTTAAGTCGTAAATCAGAGAACATACTACTTAATATACATTACTTACTGGATAAACTAAATTTTTTTAGGTATCATCTCAGCTCAGTGTATTAGCACAAGTTCAGGTTCTAGAGCTACTTTTACTGGTTCCTCAATTTACCCCATTCAAAGCCTAAACTCTTAAATTCATCCTACTAATTGTTGTGTGTCAAGTTATCTAGTATTCAGAACTAATTTTAGAACGTTTTAATGTGCCTATATTTTAGTATTACTTAGAAAATAATAGAAGTAGCCACGACATAAAAAGTAATTAGGTCTGTCTATCTGTTAGTAGTTTATAAAACTTATAAGTTATAGATATATACGTGTATTGTACGAGTCAAAGTACAATGAATTTCAGTAACTGAAGTTAAAATGTAAAAGTTAAAACTTTATGTCTAACGAAGTACCAAGAGCATATATATATATATATATAAATCATCAATACATAAGAAAGTAAATGACTAATGTAAAAAATAATAGATTTGCCGAAGAATTTCATGAAATACTACGTATTTACTCAGTATTACTATTACTCATAGTCATACTCATAGTATTACTATTAGCATTTACTGTAAATGATTTAGTTATAACTTATAAGTTATAGCTTTGTTCTTAAACCTCAGCAATTTACACGAGTTTACTGATACGACTATAACAATAACTCAAAATTACAACTTACCAAATACGATTTCAACTGTTTCACAGAACCTTATTTCAGCTTAAGTTAAACTGCTTAAAAAACTCTAACATATATCTCACTCAAAATTGAATGACGCAATAATTTCGAGCAAGTTCTTTTAATGTTTTTTTGATTGCCACCTACAGAGCTAAAAAGTTTATGAACGATTTTACTTAAAATACATATATTTCTAAAAACTTATAATAATTTGTACCAAAGATACTTTAATTTATACAGATATTTTTCTCTGAAAATGTTCGCAGGAAACCTGTTAACACTATTATATTAGTACTACAATTTACAAATATTTTTATATAAACTTTGAACTTGTTCAGTGATTGCATCAGTAGGCTATTTGCGCCAGAAAAAGATACCTTTTCCCATTCAGTTCTCGAAAATGTCGTACCCCTCGGTGGCTAAGACGTAAATCTCAACCTTTTTTGTTGCAACCCTTGTAAGGACACCAATTAGACCTCACGACCCTACTAAGGAACCGTTGAGATCCTAATTTGGCTCGCGACCCGAGGTTGGGAACCACTGGCTACTAAGTGATAAGTTTCAAGACTTATAGCGCTACAAAACCGTGTTCCTATACCCGCTGTGGGTGGAATACATATCGTATTTTTCGGTGTTTAAGACGCAGTTTTTACCCAGAAATTTGATTTCAAAATCTGCTTGCGTCCTTTACACCGAAAGTATAAATAATATATACGTATTGTTACGTCTCTGTTCGTTTGTTAATTTTCCGTAGAAACTCTTTCCCAGAAACTTCAGCGATACACGTCCTTTCTTAAATAAAACTAGTGTTGCGTTAGCTAAGTCACATGACTAGTGTGACGCCACGTTTCTAGAACTATCCTGTACCTTGACGAATGCTCTAGCATTTACTAGATATAGGGTAGTCTGGTATATAAAATAGGGTGACAACGTGACGGGACAATAATGTGTGTGTAGACAGTGAGTAATTGATCTGCAGTCAGAGAGTATTATTGAGCACGTTCGTTGTTATAGCGTTTGTTTTAGCGCGATTGTTGAGGTTGAGTGTATCGGTAAAGTTATATTCGGAAAGAATAAACCAGTTTTATTAGAAAGGACTTGTGTCGCTAAAGTTTCGTCAGAACGAAGTTACGGGAAGTTAATTAACAAACGGAGACGTAACAAATTGGTGTCAGAAGTGGGATAGAAAAAAAAAGAGAAAAGAAAAATGGAAA